CAATTCTTATATCATTTACATGCTAACATAGTTTTATGTACAAACTGCACAGTATGAAAACCCATAGTTTCCCTTACAGCAGCACTTGATGTTTTCTTTACAAATGGTATATAGCTTTTTAGAGCAAAACAGTGACCCAAGTCTAGGTTTTGGGCAGAGTTCAAATTTTTCTTACCATGGTTGGTTCTAGGCCTGCACTTGGATTAACAGATGCTTCCTATCCTCCCAACATGTGTATGCTGCCTCTAGTTAATTTCTACCTGTAACCACATGGAAATAATAATTCCATAAGCTATAAAGCCCAGTAAGTGTAGTAAAATATGTAACTTAACTTTATCAACTTAGAAATTAATTAAACCAATTTTTGGTGCTAAGCTGAAATATAATCTGCCCTACCTGTTCAGGGCCAATTCCATCAAGTTCTGTTCACTAGCATTGAACAGTCAAATAGGAGATTTCCCTCCATGAAATCAACACTGAAGATTCATAAGAAAAACAAAGCAGTAAGATAATCTTATGCTTGTCAAAATATTCCCATGAATGTATGTTCTTATCTATGGATTTTTCTTTGTGGGTGTACATCCCACATACCTTTGGACTAGCCATGGTTCTTCCTACTGCATGGTGGATCTAGATATCTTTCTTTCCTTACTCCAGTTTCTTTAGGAGTTCTTACCTAGCTTACTAGCTCAGGTATCATTTTAGATATCTTCTTTCTTTACTCCAAATACGTTAGGAGCATCATCATTAGCCATAAGCTTAGGCATCATACCATAGATTCTATGCAGCATGTAAAATGATGCATTCTTGTCTCATGTAATGCATATGCATTTCATATTAGTTGAATGTTCATCCCCTGTACAAGTAAAGATTAAAGAGCCAAACAGGTAACAAAGCTGCTATAATTCTCAACTTGCAGAGTTTCAACTAGAAATCATCATGCAATAAAACTTCAGAAAGTACAGACAAGAAGAAACAATCAACAGAGGAAATTCTTTTCTTTTATTCACACAACAGCATTGCATGACTATAAATCCACATTCTAAACTCTACTTGCTGTCTGATACTAAGGTTGCCTTCAAACTGTAAATTTTAATTCCAACTCTTAAGTCTAAGCTAAACAATTACTAAAACTTACCTTACTGCAGCCTTAAGTTAACAAAAACTCCTCCCAAAGCCTTCTTAAACTTGCTGTTGGTTCTGGGTTGCGGAACCTCCTCCTTTCCCTGTTTTTCCTGTGTCTGGTACCAGAAAATTTAGGATTCAAAAAAAATAAATGAGTTAAGTCTTATTTTGAACCATATATATACTTCTAGATAAAGTTAGTGGATTTTTAATGAGTTCCACTGACTTAGATCCTCTATTTGATATATATATATTATCTTTCAGAGCAACTTGCCAAAAGCCATCCAGTCAAGTCTGGTAAAGTTGCCTAAAATTATCAGGCAATCTAACGAACCAGATTCCGATTTTCTGCCTAACCTCCTTAACTTAGTGAAATTAATATTTAAGGATAAAGACTTATAAAATCTTACACTTTAGGATAGGGGTCTTTCATGCCCTCCAAAGCTAAAGGCACCTCCAATTTCCAAGGCTGTTTAGTCTGTCAGCTCGGACACAAATGAAGATTGTTGGGATTAGGCCCAACACCCACTTCGGGCCACATATAACCGGCCCAATTAGGCACACACAGACCCAAGAGGAGGAGACATACCCACGTGAGCA